CGCGGCAGCAGACAGGGGCGACGTCTTGTGTCCCTTCCGTGTGCCGTCTGCCCAGAACCTTGCAGACGCCCCGTCCAGAGCCCATGAAGAGCCAGACAAACTGCGCACTCTGCTCGAGCAAGGGTTCGAGGAGGTGCACTGGCGCTGGCCGGAAGCAAGCGTTTGGGACGAGCTCTGGTGAGGACAGACGCGAGCGCAGGAGAGGAAAATCTTCTCACTGCCTCCGTTGGGGTGGGCGCGCCTGCATTGGGACAGCGGAGAAGACGCTGCCGGCGTGACGGGCGAGCAAGCCCCCAAGCGAGGCTGCCCGACACGCCGAACCCACACCCCAACCAGACACCGCTGCCTGCGCGGCCAGCAGCGAACCACACCCACCAGACCAGGGAGGGCGGGAGGGCAAAAGCGGCAGCACCAAAGCCGCCGGGGCCCAGAGCCCCAGCCCGGCAGAGCCGCGGCACACCCCGCAGGGACAGACGAGGCACGCGCACTGGACAGACCAAGTCCGCCAGGAGCGCGCCTGCGTGGCCACGGCGAACGTGGCGACGAGGACGCCGGGAACTTGCCACCCCGCCCCCGCGCCGGGCGGCAAACCACACAACACCGACGACACGCGCCAACGCCGCCGCTCCTACTGGAGCCAACCAGGCCATGAGGAAACCATGAAACTCCCCAAACGGACCAAACGACCAACCGTGGGAAACTACGGCCGAAACGCCGATTTTCCTCCCCACGAAAGAACCTTTAGGGGGTAAGAAAATCTTCTCACTGCCTCCGTTGGGGTGGGCGCGCCTGCATTGGGACAGCGGAGAAGACGCTGCCGGCGTGACGGGCGAGCAAGCCCCCAAGCGAGGCTGCCCATTGTTGAGGCTCGACTCGCCCGTCACTCGGGACCCCAATGTCGGCGCCCCGAGCCTTCACACACGCGCCCGTTGGAAAGCGCTAGCCTCGACGCGGCAGAATCATTTTTCTTCCCTTTCAACTATCCACGACACCGCTGTCTGACGAACTCGAAAAATCAGCGGCCCACTTTGCGGCCACGACTTCCCCTTTCGTCTGCGCTGATGCGTAGCCAAACGCGGCTAATCCGCGCCAGCCACCTGAGTGAAACAACGCGGGCGCACCGCCCTGCCGTAGAGCATCGTTGGCCCACCCTCGGCGGAAGCAGTGGGTTCCCCATCCTGCCCCGCGCGGGAAGCGGAGCGCCAACGCTGAGGTTTTGAGGGCTGCTAAAGCACTCTCGTATCGCAACGTTGGGAAGCACGGCCTGCGTTCACTGCGTCTGCGAAGGACACACACCCCACACAATGCTGGACCACGCGCTCGGCACACGCACTGCCTCACCACATGAACTGCTCTGTCCTGCATTTTCCGCTTGTGGCATATTATCGTGACCTCTGGCGCGCCTCCGCGCGCACGGCACACTATCTCAGAATGCAATACAAACGTCCCGAGCTTCAACACTTCACACCCGTAGCGCAAAGTGAAATGTCTGGCCACCACCCAGCTGTCGGCCAGCTCCGCGTCATGCAGCACGTCCCGAGCGTACTCAGCAAGCTCCTGCACCTGCTTCGCCGACGCGCTGGCCTTGAAACGAGGCACCGCACCGTGTCTTTTCATGGCGCCCCTGACGAGGGCAGTCGTGTCAGCAAGAGCTCCCAAAGGCGTCTGTAGAAGCCGCAACGTAGACCGCAGGTGGGGGCAATACCGGGAAAGCGTGGAAGCGGGTGGCACGGCGAACGCCAGCGCTGCCAGCACTACCTGGTCAGGCGGCCACTCCGGCACCTCCGTCGCCGCCGCGAGCTTGCCCCACAATCGGATGGCGGACGCATACCCCGCCCCACTCTGTCTCCAGTTCTCCAATTCCTGAAGCAACAACTGGTTTCGTAGAATGGGCGCGCGCGTCTCCGCAGGAACTTGCGCCAACCAAGTTGCGCGACTTGATGGTAGAGCCAACTCCGCAGCGACGGGCGGCAACAGAGGACCATCCACTTTGCATGCAACAGAAATGGCCCGAGCAAGAGCCTCTGCTGGCGGCGCCATTCTCTGAGCACGCGCCTGCGCCAATGCTTCAATGGCCGCCGAAACTTCGCCAGCGGTAGGCCCCGCGGACCGCCCTGCCATTGTCGGCGCAGGCACGCTGCACTCCTCTGCCAGCCTGCACCGTTTAGCGCCGCTGGAAGCACGGGCATGCGCAGGCGCAAGTGCAAGTGCTGAACTACGACACCTGGACGCGCGCCACATCATTGCCCGCAGAAGCTCGTCGGTTAGCCCAGCTAGCGGGGGCCAGATCCCCCGCAACTCGTCCAGCGCCGCGCGTGGAAGTCGCCCCCGTGAACCGCGCCGTTGTCTGCCAAAGCTTGCAACACTAGGTTGGCCGACGGCGGGTGGCAAGACGGTGGTGTCCCAGCCAGAACGCTGTGGAACCACTCACTGAGGGCTGACGGGATCTCCACGCCCTGCACTCGACAAGGCTGTTCCTCGTCGCCCCGGCAACGGCGGCGGGAAGCATTGATGAACTGCAAGGCCATAGCAAAACGCTTGGGCCCCCGCGGCTACTGACAGGCCCGCCGCAAGGCCGCTACCACCCGTCTCTCCGGCGCGGGTCCCTATGGGCGCTGTTCGTCGGTCAAAATACCTGGGCCATGAAGGGGCCCCCATTGGACTCCTACTGGCGCCTGCAGCGTCGGAAGCCTTCCTACCAAGAAGACAACGCAAGAGACACAAACACACAAGGACTCTGGGTCGCCCAACTTGCTGGGGCAACCGCCAGGGCAACCAGTTGGGGCGACCACAACACAGACCTGCCGGGGCAACTGTTGAGGCCACCGCCAGGGTCCAGGGGGCCCGCCGAAAGCGCCAGCACCCCCGGGCCTCTGGAGCGCCCAAACACAGGTATCTTTTTGCACTCGCGACAACTTTCTCACCGCAGCTCGTCCCGCACTCCGCACCTGGCCACTGCCACTGGGTTTCCTTGAAACCTAGCTCGAATAAAACATCAAGCTTTGCAGGGTCTTCGTGGGCTCGAGACGGGGCGTCTGCTAAATTTTGGGCCGGCGGCACTCTGAACGGACAGAGAATGTCGGCTCGCTGCGCCGCAGCAAACCAGATCGATGTCACTAACGCGTTCCAATCGACCTGCCTCGACGTGCCCCCGACGAGCGCGCCCAGCGCTGGATTGGAATCCACGAAAAGAAAAATCTCCAGCGCCTGTGGCAGTTGCGAAAAAGCGCGCCATAATCCACACACCGCGGCTATCAACTCCCATGTGCCGATTTGTTGTCGGCGCGGCTTCACCCCATTGCGAAGCCACCGGGGCACCCACGCACGAGCAAAAACTTTAAAATCATCGTGCGCCAGCACCCACGCGAGAGCCCCACACCCCGCTGCATCGGTGTACAAAACGACACGAGGACGCAACGATGGCGCATCGGGAATTACACGGCGAGGCTCCGAATGCAGAAAACGTAGCCACCATTGCAGAGCACGGCGCAAACGCGAAGACAGCCTCGAGGACCGCCGCGCCGAATGGTGAAACAAAGCTGCGAGGTAAATCCTCGCGCTTTTACCAAACACCATAGTCGCCCCCCAGCTCAATTTGCCGGCCAGTTTCTGCGCCGCTGCTGGTGTGAGCACGCCTGCAGTTAGGATTGCTTCAATTTCTGCGACCCATTGAGAGCATTTCGGAGTTGGCACCGTGAACACGAATTTTTCTCCTACTTCATCCAACGCGACGTGGATGCCGAGAACAGTTGCGTCGCTGGCAGCTGTGACGCTCTTAGCTTCGTCTAATTGCCACCCAAGCAATCCCTGCACGACTTCGCGCGCGAGGACGGCGGTGCCTGACGGCCCTGCGAGGCTGGTGCCCTCTGGCGCCCCACGATCAACGCTGAAGAAATCCTCAACAAAGCGTGGATAGAATTGCGAAACAGGTGCGCCAGCACGTGCTGGATCGCAAACCCCACGCGGCGCCAGGAGTGCACACTTGAAAGCGCCCCAAATGGGCAGGAGCAAAGCTGCAACGCGACGCCTGCGTGCGCCGCGTCTTCTGTAACAGCCACAGCATACGGCAAGTGCTCTGTCCGTATAGGCAGAGTTTTATAGGCGCCGACAACGTCATCCTTCCGCAGTTGGCCTACCGCAGCCAAAGTGTCAAGATCATCATAACAAATGCGCTCCGACACCTGGGTCGCTTCGTTGATTCCCGAGGCGTGGAAATCATCAATGGCGCGGACTGCCCGGACAACAGCGCCGCGCTTCACTTTCCAACCTTCGTCTACTCCAAAGCGGGGGGAGCAAACGACGTCGTCTAAAGCGGCGGACAGTGGCACCCTCCTTGCTTTGCCTGCTGCGACCTCATTTTCGGTTTGCGCACGCAAAGCTGCGGCCGCTTCTTCATCTATCAAGGTAGAAGAAGCAGCCCTCAAAATCAGCTTCGCGTTGGTCGCGGGCGCGCGCGCCCACAGCAAGCCCAAAGGCAAAGGCGCGTCAGGTGCACATGTTGGCAGCGTGCCGCTCGGAGGAATCACCCCGGTCAGCTTAAAACCCGCTGCCAAATCTGCCGCTAATTCGGCGTCAGAATGCCCAGATGCCTCCAGCATTTCTGCCAGCAACCGCAAGTTTTTATCCGGACCTAGAACAGCTTGCACGTGCTGTGGGAGCTTGGTAAACTCCCATTGCCATTCCCTGTCCGTCACGCGCTTGCGCTCGCGCCAGAAAGCTAAAGCAGAAGCGCGGAAATCATGCAGGTCGCGCCTGGGCCCGCACTCGTAGAGGGCGCTCGACTGCGTCTTTCCGCGCAGGCGCAAAGTACCTGCACTAGGCGGGAGACCGCGCGCCCAATCTATGTGATGGCTCGGTGCCATGCAGCTAAGTCTATGTACATCTTGCAGCAAACTGTTCACTTCAGCTCGCAATTCGTCAAAATCGGCGGCAAATCCACTCGCATTCAAAAGTGTGCCCGAGGGATCCTCGGACGATTCGCGGCCTGAGCCGGAATCCTCTCACTTCTTGGCGCCCCACTTCTTGTCCCACTTCTTGTTGTCCCACTTCTGAGAGCTCCAGCTAGATGCGGGGCCTCCTTTCGGACTGCGAGACCTCCGCGCTGGGGAACGCACCTGGCGGCCGACGTTCGAGGGGTGGGTTGCCCCCTTGCTCTTGGCAGGGCCTTTGCCGGTGCCCTTCCCTGGTGTTGCCTGTGACTGCTGCGAGCTTGAGCTCTGGCTCACTTTATTAGCTGCCCTCGCAACTTCTGAAACACGCTTCTCAGCGATGTTCTTGGCGTCGGCCAGCACATCTCTGTCCAAGTCGCCCAGAAGCTTCCCGATCTGATCGTTTTCTTCCCGCTCCAATGCGCGGGCAAGCTTCTGCCTCAGCAGCAAGTCGTAGCGCGTGCACACACGAAAACCTCCGTATTCCTCAGCAACTCGAGTGAGCACCATCTGGTAAGCGAGCAACTGGGCGGCTGCGATGACCTTCGTGAGGACCATCTTGACACCCCAATCGAGGATGTGGCCGTAGAACGTTGCAAACCCAAGGTAAGCCGTCTTATCTTCCATGGACCTGACTTTCTTTGCCTCCATTGCGCTCCGCAGTTTCTCCTCGAAGGTTCCATCGCCGACAGTGACGTCGATCTTCGGCGTGCGGGACCACGAAGGCCGAAACGACGTTTGCAGGTCCTCGCCCTCTGCTGAGCCAATGTGCAGCCTCCCCTGCTCTCGGGCAACCTTGCTTGCCTTTTCCAACCGAAGTAGTGACTCCTCTGAGGGGATCATATCCTTAGGCAAGCAACTGAGACCAAGCTCACCAAGGCGGTCCTTGAGATTGAAACTCAAGTATTCTTTCTTGGGTTGTTCTCTGTCCTTTGTTGCCTTTGCGAGGGCTTCGATGGCCTGGGCCAAGCCATCAGCTGGTGGCCCACTGGCGGGGCGCCCGTCCGCGACACGCTTGTCCAAAGCAGCGGCAGCACTCTGCACTTTCAAAGCAGCTGCCACGTGCGCTGGCGTGATCTTGACGTCTTTCCACTGCGTGTCGCCATCTCCCTCGAAGGGCTCGGCCCCGGCGCGGAAACCATCGATGACAAATGTGCGCATCTGCGCGTCTGCATAATTCGCTGGGACTGCCGAGCCCATGTGTTCCGCGAGGAGGCGCGCCACACTTCCGTAGAAGAGTTCTGGGTGGCGCGTGGGCTCGTTCGCGTCCGCCACGAACTGGATCCACTTTTCCATATCGGCACCGGACAGGGCCAAGAACTTGCCTTCGGGCACGGTGGCCACCAAGGCCTGCGCGGCTGCTGACTCGAGCGGCATGACCTCTCCTCCTGCACACTCGACACTCGCAAAAGCGGCAGCACCAAAGCCGCCGGGGCCCAGAGCCCCAGCCCGGCATAGCCGCGGCACACCCCGCAGGGACAGACGAGGCACGCGCACTGGACAGACCAAGTCCGCCAGGAACGCGCCTGCGTGGCCACGGCGAACGTGGCGACGAGGACGCCGGGAACTTGCCACCCCGCCCCCGCGACGGGCGGCAAACCACACAACACCGACGACACGCGCCAACGCCGCCGCTCCTACTGGAGCCAACCAGGCCATGAGGAAACCATGAAACTCCCCAAACGGACCAAACGACCAACCGTGGGAAACTACGGCCGAAACGCCGATTTTCCTCCCCACGAAAGAACCTTTAGGGGGTAAAAAAAATTGCACGCAACACTTGACCATCGTGGCCTTCTCTTCTGGCTTCGCGGCCGCCTGCCTGTCGCAGCCTGCGCCCTCATTCCGTAGCCGGTTGGGCGCAAGCGTTTCTTGATGGCCTTCCAGTTTATCGATGCTTCCCGGCGGCGCCATCTGGAAGCCGCCCGGCGCACGCAGGTGCCGCAGCAGACTCCCGTGCCAACAGAGCTGAAGGCATGGTTCCAGAGTGTGCTGGCCCGGACGCCAGCTTCGGGCCATCCGGCATCGCCTGACGCAGTCTTGCAGGCGCTGGCCGATTCTGGTGCTGTTCATGGCGGCGACCTCCAAGGCCTCTCAGCAACAGAGTTGCGAGAAGTGTGGCCGCCTCTCAGAACGCTGTCCGATGACTTCCTGCGTTCCGTGTCGTGGCAGACGGGCGCGCGCGGCTCAAGCGCCGTCGTGCCTAAGCTGAAAAGACACAAGCCAGAACGCTTTTGTGAGCAAGAACTGCCTCCCGGGAGGCCGGGTGCCAGGGCGGGCGCCGACGAGTTTTCTGCTGCAGTGGAAGTTTTGGTGCAAGTCAGAGCTCAGAGATGTGCGCCTCCCGCTGATGTCCCGGCGCGTAAAATTATTCCTCGCATTTGCATTCACGTTCCCACGCGTGCAATGGGCAACACATACGTGCAGCTGGCTGGGGCCGCCTCCTGGGAAGCTTCCAGGGCACCCAACCAGCGGAACGCGAGGGGGCGGGTGGGCGGGGAAAGCAACCCAACCCGAGAGCAGCCTGCACCGCGGCAGCGGCAGCCCCACGAGAGGCGATGCGCGCGCGCACCCCTGGCCCCGCAGGCCCTGCTGCGTCTGCGTGCTGACGCAGGGCGCGCGCGACGACCAACGACAGACGGACACGGAAGGACGGGCGCGGACAGACGGGCAAATGGGAAAACCGCACCCTGAACGGGCTAGGCGTGAGCAAGAACTTCCCCCCAACTCCGCAGCCTCCGTAGGAAGCTACCGGCCATGAGCCAGACGCGCGAAGCTAGGAGGGAGGCCAAAAGGCTAAGAGTGGACAAGAATCCTACTCAAATTTCACTGCCCCCCAAACCACTCGTGCCTCGTGATTTAGGGGCGACGAAAATTATTCCTCGCATGTACATTCACGCGTTCCCACACGTGCAATGGGCAACACACATGCGTGCAGCTGGCTGGGGCCGCCCTGGGAAGCCTCCACCCACTGCGCCCAGGTGGGTCCGGACAGCTGCGCGAAGCGGTTTGCTACTGGTACCTGTGCCCCCCCATGCAAGCAGGAGCATTTCTACTCAGCAGCGCCCGACGAATCTGAGTGTACAACCAAGAACTCTGCTGCCGCCACGTTCCCCCGCGCCCTGGGGGCCGCCCCACGAGAAGCGATGCGCGCGCGCACCCCTGGCCCCGCAGGCCCTGCTGCGTCTGCGTGCTGACGCAGGGCGCGCGCGACGACCAACGACAGA